CACACACACACACACACACGCACACCCTTACAAAATGGGGGCTGCCATTTTGGCTGCCAATTCCCACCAGGAATTCACACCATGCTCTGCTGCCTCTTCTGTTAATGTGGGGCAAGCTGACCACAGACAACAAGGGACATGTTCTTGGGAAAGCCACCTTTGAGACCCAATGGTGTCTCTGGCTAGAATCACAGAGTAGGAAGAGACCTCAAGCACCATCCAGCCCAACCCCATTCTGCCATGCAGGAACTCACAATCGAAGCACCCCCGACAGATGGCCATCCGGCCTTTGTTTAAAGACCTCCAAAGAAGGAGACTCCACCATTCTGAAAGGGAGTGTGTTCCATCACTGATTGAACCTGGTGAAGAAGCAAGCTTCCTGTGAACATCAAATTGTGTCTGGCCAGCAAGTTTGCACAAAACTGTCAGGAAGTTCCTCCTAATGTTGAGGTGGAATCTCTTTTCCTGCAGCTTGCATCCATTTTTCTAGCTCCTATTCTCTGGAGCAGCAGAAAACAAGCTTTCTCCATCCTTAATATGACATCCTTTTAAATATTTAAACGCGGTTATCATATCACCTCTTAACCTTCTCTTCTCCAGGCTAAACATACCCAGCTGCCTAGCAGCCTGTACAGAACAGCCAAAAGGACCGGTCTGGGGTGGAGTTGGGGCATGGTGCCCGCACGCCGGCCACCCCAACGCCACCATGTGCCCCACCACACGGCGCACAACGTCAGGAAGCTCCCTTGTTGCAGTGTGCACCTTTGCATGTACATATAAATGCACTAACGCCAGTGTGGCTCAAAATGGGCGCTCTTTCCAAACCCTAACCTTACATGCTGCACCAAAGGAGCACAGAAAAGCCGCTGCCATGGCAGCAAGGGTGGCTTTTTTGCCGCTCCAAAAAGGAGCGGCATTTGCCAGCTCTTTTTGGAGCGGTAAAGTGCCGGATCGGGGCTGCGGCGTGTGGTTGCCACGGCCCCAATCTGGCGCTCCCAGGAGTGGCACGGAGCCGCCCCTTAGGGGCCATCCTAGGTTGGTCCTCACAGGGCGCTAGGTTTCCTAGCCACTTCCAAAGAGAATGGATGAGCAGGAAGAAGGAGGCTACACCTCTAATGGGAGGAGCTTTTTAGTCCCTTCCAGAACTTTCGGGCAAAAGAGATGGGCAAAATAAGCAGGTTTCAGGCC